GGATGGAGAGTCCACATTCCTTAGCTATCACCACTAGTTTGGTTGCATCCCAGAAAACTTAAGGCAAATCCAATGTAGCTGTTGCCGTGCATGGGCTATCTTCTCTGCAGAGACCAGCAGAGTCCCTTGCCTCCCTGTGGGTGATTTAAGGCCCAGTGATCAAGCAGAGCCTGGCCCGCAAGACTGAGCTCAGGTTCCATCTTGGTCCAGGCTGGGAATTTATTTAGGAGTGATAATACAAACCTACCAAACCTGTGTGTACTTGCTCTCCCAGTGCCGTCCCACCACTCCTGGGCTTTCTCCTTGCTCCACACTGCATGTTGCCTACACCTTGGTTCAGTGTTTTTTGCCCCACCATTGTCCATTCCACTTCAAATGCATTGCCACACAGAGAAACTCTGTCCAAGAAAGATTCTGAGGAAATACGCTGTGGTTTGCAAACTGAATTCCTTAATGACTTCCTCATAAGAAGAGCTCACTGCCAAATGCTGTTTGAGTTTGCCTAAAGGACGGTCTGCATGATTAAAAGTAGTTCTGCTTTACATGAAGTATTGTTTTCAGGCTGCTGCCACAGGCAGCTGCTTCGCACTAGGCGAGAGAGAGAAAAATGAATGCCAGCAAACAGAGCAAGCGACGGAGCGAGACAAGAACCTATGGGATATTCCATCCCAAATCCCCACCACCACAAGGGCCAGTGCCTGTGTGAGCACCGCATGGTGGGTAACGCTGAGGCAGGGCCTGGGTGTTGCAACAAGGGACACCCAAACCGGGGAGGCTGAATTCCAGAGCAGATCTGCTGGGAAAATATTTCCTGTGAGAATGTGCAAGCCCAGAAAACCAGGAGCAGCAGCAGCTCTAGAAGCAGGGATGGATTTCATTTGTCTAGCACATTCATTTCAAGAGCGAATCTTTAAATGGATATCTTGTCATTGAAGATTGGTGATGAGAGAGTGCACCTCAGCTGCAGCATATGGGCAAGGAATATTATTCTACTCAAGCCCAATATTTAAAGTAAAACTGATTAAAAAAATCCATTGTAAAGGTTTTAGAATTTATTTGCAGCATGCCTTCAAAATCTCCTATCTTCTCGTCACTGAAAATTCAGATTCAAATTCAGCTCCTTGTTCCTAACTTTCTATTTTTAGCACAGACACCACAACTCATTGTTTCCAGAGCAGGGCTTTGGAAAATATTCTGAGAAAGGAAAATCCACAGTGATTTCATTTGCTAATGAGGCTTAAAACTAATATCTGGACAAACAGCTGGCACAAAAAAAGGCCTTCAAGCCAAAAAGGGCTTAAAGCCAAGCAGGGGAAGAGAATAGTTCAAGATCAACTTAGTGTCTTTCTCTGATCTCCAGTATTTAGGCTTTATAAAAGGAAAAATGGAGGGAAGGATTGTGGACCTAACACCAGTCACAAGCCTACACATACATTCTTTGTACCTGATGAGTCAGCAGGCCTGGCTGACGCTTGTGTAAGAGGTGGGGGAGAACTTGTCTGTGCATTTCTGTGCTCCCACCACTTGCTTCGTTCACTGCTGTGCTGCATATTCCATCCTTGAGAGTCTAGGATTTCACTGTACTCAAAGAGTATTTGAGTACAAGAAGGCAGGTTGCTGGATGGCTGGTAAGGTCATCTGCAATGGCACACACAGCTCCTGACAGCACATGCATAGGATACTTCACCCTCATCAAAGTCAATTCTGATGGTTGGGGAGAGTTTTCTATATTTCATTTTATTAGTCTTTATAAGGGAGCAGGTTGCACCAAAGAACACAGGTTACAAGCGAGGGCATTTCTTGGACCTATTTGCTGTGCTAAAGCTCAGACCTCCTGGTTCTGCAGACAGTGCCTAACCCACCAGGCCACAGAGCCTGCCCCTCTGCCAAGAAACTGGACCACACTTTGTCCCCCTTACCACAGCTAAAACTTGTGGCTAACAGGAGTGGTCTGTGCTCTCCTAGTGCTTTTTCGCCTGTAGGCTTCAAAGGGTTTCTTAAAGTGGATACGTATTACTTACCCGTTTCTACTGTTGACTAAGTATAGAAATTTGACACGACGATTACACCAGGTGTACCATGGCCGGATTTCACCAGATGGGGTTTATGTTCCCAGCTTGTCGTGGCACACCACTTCAGCTGAGCTCACAGTGTCTGATATGGGGAAAAACAAGGGGTAAAACTTCTGGTTCCTTCCTTGTGGTTATGATGTGCAGTTGCTGAAGTGCTTGAGATCCACAAGCCCTAACACCTTTCTGCAATGAGAGAGGAATAGTAAGGGCCACAGGACTCTAAGAAATGCCAGGCACGATAGGAGACAATCAAAAAAGGATCCCTTTAGTAGATTTTAAAAGAAAAACTTCTTTCTTCATTTAAAATGTCAATTCTGGCTTTTCAAAGAAACTTTTGCTCTACACATTTCTAAGAACAGGAACTTGTTTTTCTTCACACATTGAGTTATAACATGGCGTGAAATCAGAACCTTTAAACGGATCTTCACTCACTTACATATTTTACCTTATTCCTTGCTCTGCAATACTAACAATATGACTCGCCATTTGGAACTATGGGCTTTCTTTTTTTGCAGTGTTATTTGTATGAGATATATCTGGGATGCATAAAAGGAGGCATAAATTATGAAAATGGCTAGGAGTACATTTTGGGTTTATACCTAATACTTCTGGAGTCAAAAGAGAGATGGAAATTGGCCATGTAATGGATCTTAGCTAAAGAGAATTATCATCTTTCAGTAATAAAGTATTGCCTGTCTCAAGCTCTCACACACAGAGCTTGACCTCAGAGCAGTTGCACATAATGAATAATCTATTCATAATGATCTGTCACAGGTGCTCACACATAATATGTTTCCCATCAAAAGTGATCATCCATATTTTATATAGCAGCTTTGATGACAAATATTTTGTACTTCAGATGCTTTTTCTTCCCTCTGTCAGACTTACTAGAGGAAAGTCACAGATGATAGTTTTTAAATAATGTCAGCTTCTTAGATCACATTTCTGTGTCTGCCTTTGAAAGTAGCTTTGTACAAGAGCCACAAGAGGGGGGAGAGAGAGAGACAAAGACATTTTAATTTACTTAAGTTTTAAAAGAAAGGCAATTTTTCAGGCTCTTAATTTCAAAATTGATATACTCTCCATCTTTGAAATCTCTATGCTTCTATATTCTATACTTATTGAGCACTCAGTATTTTGAGCATCTAGTGAAAATAGGTTTGATAACTGAATTGGGGTTGCAGCTTCTCACTATGCAGAATTATTTAATCTCATAGTAGTGGTGTGTCCTGGTGGTAAAAACACTTTCCTCCAGGTTGTTCTACAAAGTGAGTGCCTCAGGGGGCATAGAGGGTCGGGTTCTTATGTTCTTGAAATTGTTTGTCCGCTGCGGGGCCAAAGTTTGCTCTTCTCCTACGTGTTCAGCCCTACTGAGAGAAATAACCCTCATTCCTCATTCTATTAATGAAAGAGGAAAAGCAAACTTGAACTCCCTTTGAGGTTTCTCAGATTGCAGGACTGGTCATTGAAACCTCAGAGCATAGAGGAGTGCTTGTCCCATTCAGGGGCCATGTCCTTTCTGCCAAAACTGTAAGTGAACAAAGTACAGAGGTATTCCTGAGCTTCCCTGCCACCAGGCACCCGGAGCTAGCAGAGAGTGCTGGATTTCAACCTGTAAGCCATGGATTCACAGATGCTGCTTCTCTGCCTCCAAGGGATACACAGAAGGGAGCAAAAGCAAGTTCATTGTGTATACAAGCTATTTAGCAGGGTCTGCAGATAAAAATATGATCAAAATACCAAAATAGGAAATCAAAGTATGGCACGTGCACATTTATAAAATTATCACTGGCCTGAGGAGAAGGCAGAAGAGGAAGCCAGTAGAATTTACAAATGTAAATGAGTACCGGATTCCTCTTACATATGAAATATAACCAGGTGTCGCAGGTTGAGAGATAAAAGCTTACACTTAAAAAAATGCCTTGTTTTTTCCAGAAAAGAGGGGGTTTGTAGCTATTTGATGCTTAATTGTTTTTCAGATCCAACTCCTATTTAAAAATGCAAACGAGAAGGAATTAAGAGTAGGTAACAACTTCTAAAGTACAGGAAGATGCAAAACATTATTCACTACCACTGAGAAGTAATACACCGATTGTCTGCTACTGAAAAGATAGTCTGAGATAGCATCCTCTTTTCTGCTACCCCCAAGCCCCTAAAGAAGAACTGAATAGTCTTAAGCACTGAGTGTAATAAGCTTTCCTTTCCTTGTCTAAAGAATTAGAACAATTCCATTGAAAGGCAAATATAATCCTACCTATGCTCCCTGCTGGGACTGGAGCAGGGTAAATGCCACAGTTAAGTCTGAACATCAGGTTGTAATTGTTAGAGATTAAAAACATGCCAGAGAGAACATTCCAGGGAAAGAAGGAGGGTGAGAAGGATGGCTCTCCTGTGTCTTTTTATTAAGGCAAATTAGCATCAGATCTTGCAAGGGTATATTCCTGCACAGCAGACCTCAGTCAAATGGCATTTAGTCAATGAAGGAAATGATACACTATGCTGATTTTTAATCATCCAGCTAGGTAAAGCAAAGATAAGTGAACATGTATTTATCTGCTGAGCCAAGTGCATACAAGGCAGAAAAGCCACTGAAAATAACGAAAAATAACTGTTCTCTAGGATGCTGCTGGTTGATAAAATCTATTTCAAATATAATTTGTTGTTAGCTATTTCTGCAAGATCTAAGCGCATCAGATGAGCTTCTCATTTTTTATGCAGATGAAATAATCGCTGAAATGAAGCATCAGGTCATAAGAGACAATAAAAAATGAAGCAATATTTAGGAGCTGTCAGAGAGCTGGGTGGTCCACCCTTCTAAGTACAGAGGAACCATTATTTCATGTTTTTTCCTAATACCTTGTTCTCTCACTGTTTTTTTGTTTTGTTTGTTTGTTTGTTTGTTTTAAATGCTTGTCTTCTCAGTGCATCCTAACGTGAGCCAGGGTTGCCAAGGAGGGTGTGCTACATGTTCTGACTACAACGGATGCCTGTCATGTAAGCCCAGGCTCTTTTTTGTTCTGGAGAGGATTGGCATGAAACAGATTGGAGTATGTCTTTCCTCGTGTCCAAGCGGATACTACGGGACACGGTATCCCGACATTAATAAGTGTGCAAGTAAGTGCTGGGAAAAGGGGAAGCACATGGATTTGTTTGTTCTCTCTTGAAAGCTGTGTCACCTTAGGAGTCAAGTCAACAGAGAAGCAGGCAGACAGGCTGTGTCTTTATCTGTTCAGTTCTTTTGTGGTAGTGCAGTAAATATTAACCCAAGTAAGAAGTTAAGATCACAAAACAGACTAAAGCTCAGGGATCCCTGAGCTAAACAGACTAAAGCTCATGAATGACCTGCCTAAGGTGAAGGTCTCCTCCTCTACACTCCCATATGAAAGGGAAGCACTGGTGGGCACCAGGCATTACCCTCCAGCAGCAAGAAGGAATCGACAGCAGCTCCGAACAGCCATGGCCGAGAGGGACATTGCATCTCCGTGGTTGGAGCCGTTTAACCCCCTGCCCTTGCCCACTGCAACAAAGGGAAAGGATGGCATGTGGCATTCTCTGGAAATGCAGTTTGCCCTGGTCTCTTTATAGCTTGTTTCACACTCAGTGTAGTCCTCTAAATGCCTGTAGAAGCTGGCCATGTTTCAGGTGTCCAGGTTTCAGCCTGATTTGGGGGAAGTTACTGGTTCATGTTCCTCTGGGCTGGGAGACAGAGAACCCAGCTCTGTTCTTTACTGCTCAGGCAATATTTTGACCTCACTACGTATTTTGAACCATAAATATACAGGAGAAGATCGCAATGTCCTCCCAAACGCCTGCTGTTGAATTCACTGTTTTTAATCCCGCAGGTGATGTAAAAACATAAGAATGATGGCCAAGCAACTCTCCCAGTTTTTACCTGGTAATAGAAGTTATTTAATGAATGGGTCCCAGAGTAAAGTCTTACAGAGAAACTTGACACTGTAAAGTATTTGCTCACTTTTTAGCAGTGTGTGGCCTTGCATATCAGACATGAGCTATGCCATACAGAAGATTTTATGTATTTCTTTTAAAAATATCTAAGAACTGGGAAATATACCACTGATGCCATTTTGGGTAGTGATACAGAGAATGTGTGAAATACTATAGGACATCTGATTGAACATCAGGGAGTAATTTTAAAAAAGGAAAAAGATGTTGATGCAAAACAGTCTTAAGAAGATTCTAAATTCTGGAATATTTTTATTTCTCCTGGATGAATAGAGGTAGATAGTGTGAAAATGGCCCAGTACCTGGGCCCTGTGGGGTTAATTGGTACCTATGCTGTGTCAGTGTAGGGGGAGAAGCAGTATATTGTTATTCTGATGTGCTGTGCTCTGTCTTGGCATAGGTCTGCAAGAAGACAAGCAGTGTGAGCCCATTTCAGCATCAGGCCATCCTTATTAAATCCCCACTCATGCCAAGATCACTTGTTGCTGACCTCACTGTGTGTACAGCCCACAAAGAAAATCTAAATATAATTTGCTTCTTTTGAAGATTGTTTAACATTGCTAGAATTGTGTGATTCTGGTATACGTGAGAGAGCCCATGGTGTTTCATGGCAAAGAGTAACAACATTGTTGTTTACTGTTTGCATTTCAGAATGTAAAGCTGACTGTGATACCTGCTTCACCAGAAACTTCTGCACAAAGTGTAAAAGTGGGTTTTACTTGTACAGTGGAAAGTGCCTTGAAAAGTGCCCTGATGGGCTGGAAGCCAACAATCACACGATGGAGTGCACTAGCATCGGTAAGTCAAGTCACCCCGTGTCCTGCCCTGTCGTCTCACAGGGGATGGGGGAGGTATGGAGGGCATGAGTTGCAAGGTCAGTTACACCACCAGGGAAGCGCAATTTAAAATGGAAATGTTCTGCCTCATAAGAGGTATTCCCCAGCACAACAAACTCAAGGTATTTTCCAAGTCTGCCATTTCACAACCCACAAAAACAGCCTTAATGTTAAGGGCAATTCTGCCTCAGGAAATATGGCTGGTTTGGTCTGCCCTGAGGTAGAATGACATCCGTCTCTTACTTGCTCTGTTATGCTGTTATGCAGGACCGCTAACATCAAAGGTTCAAAAACCCTGAGCCAGACCCCACATGTAGTTGAAAGATTAAAATGCTAACTGCTTTGCTTTAGCTCCCTCGTACTACCTGAGCCTTCAAAGCATGCGTGCATCAACATTTTGAAGCTTAAGTTCACAAAGCTGAAGCCTAGAAACTAAAACATTAAGACAAAAAAAAAACAAAACCAAAAACAAAAGCAAACCCAAAAATAGTGAATGTGCATAATCACTGGACTCCAGAAACTGAGGATTAAAATAAAACACCAAATAGTGTGGCACTGTCACTGAAGGAATGAGATTGGCGACACTGCTCCTGTGACTCATTGGCTGCGGAGAAGAGACCTGCTTTTGTATCCCTCCAGCCTCTGACTCACAAGCTCTAATTATCCACACCGGCGCAATTTTGGAGGTCACCACACCTAACTGTCTGCTCTATCCTCTGCCGCCCCTTTGGCCAAAAGCAGAGTGAGTGATATATTTGCCTCTGGGCTGTTGCAGTTGACATCCCCTGCCACGGGCATGCCGAAGCTGCAGCAAGGCCCAGCTTATTTTAGCAGGCCGGCTGTGAATTGTGGTGGCTGAGGGCTGCGAACTGCGGTGGAAGCGGTAACCTCTTCAGCCACCAGCAACCAGGGAGCACTTAGGCGCAGTCTGGCCATGATGGAAATCTCCCCCCCCACAGTATCATGCACATAGCTCTCCTTGGCATCGCAAGTTTTGGAGGGGTTTTTTTTGGAATAAAAATAATGCACAGTAGTTTGGCACTTTCCTTCTCAATTATATATTAGTTTAGGTGTTAGTGATGGTTTTTACAGTTTTATTTTCAAGCAAGGACTTTCATCTTTGAAAGAAATTCAAGGGATCATTTTTGTTTCTGGATGGCTGTTTCCAAGTGCTGTAGACTTAGCTGCTTTAACAATGAGTCAGCCTCAACTAGGAAAAGTCATTTAAAGCTGCGGAAGAAAGACAGAACCTTTTTTGTGCACGTGAAGGCAAATTATTTTAACAGGAGAGCGCCAGTGTAATATGAAAACCAAAATAACCCACATGACAATTCACCGGAGGAAGGTTCAGAGGTTGTCTGAGGTCAGTTATATTTTCAGGTTTTGAAAATTTAGAAGTAAATTCTGGAGCTGGAAAAATGTTGACTTAGAAATTCCTCCTTATAGAGGAACTGCAAATCCTTCCTTCTTCAGCAGTGGTTTATAGTCTCAAGCACACATGTGAACAGAATGTAAATATAAATGTCTACTACCTTTTATCAAGAGAAGGATACAGAGGTGATGCCACAAAAGAAGGATAGTTATTAAAAGCACGCTGTTAAACTTCCAAGGTTACTCTCATTTTTGTCTACACTGTTTGGACAAGTGTCCAGCTGCACAACTTTTGAGTTCCCAGCAGGACAAGACACACATTCAGATCACTGTGGTTTAGAAACTGTAACCTGCACTTTTCTGAAAAGCTTGCACCCCTGATGACCCAAATTCTCCTCTCCTTTGCCTGCTTACAGCTTGTATATGCTACAGATGATGGCTCTTTCACTATTTAAGCTGAATACCAAGCAACAGATCACCAAAGATACTTGATTCTTAATGTAATGCCTTTTGATGCCAACTGGTCCTTTATAACTCCACTGATTTCCAAATTCAATACCTTTAAGCCCAGCTGCAGCAGCTTGACCCAATGACTTCACTCTCCTTTCACATAGGCATGACCAGAGTTTGATTCTAGCGAAGCTACAAGGATTTATACCCCCACAAAAAAACAAGCAACCTAAGAACAAGCCCCAGTAACTGATTGCATTGAGAGCAATTGTGTTGTTGTTGCCTTGTTTCAGGAATGGAATTACATATCAATGAGTACAAAATAGTAACTGACATAATTATTTGACATTATTTTGTCAATGCACTGATGCAAATCCTGATTAATTTCACTACTTTTTGCCACATTTTGGCTGATGCAGAATAAAATTAATGTACCATATGCATTGTGTATACAAAAAGATATTGGCCAGGCTCAGCTTGTCCTATGTTTATTGCAGTGCACTGTGAAGCTAGTGAGTGGAGTCCATGGAGCCCTTGCACAAAGAAAGGAAAAACATGTGGTTTCAAAAGAGGAAATGAAGTAAGGGTCAGAGAAATCGTACAGCATCCGTCAGCAAGGGGCAATCCGTGCCCAGCTACAAGCGAGAGCAGAAAATGTATTGTACAAAGAAAGAGATGTCAGAAGGAAGGAAAAGGTACCACGTTATCATCATCATAATATGAGATTTGTATCGTGCTTGTTTAATAACTCACATTTGAATTCCCAGGCCTCAGCTGCAGGCTTCACCAAAGCTCATACTGATGTGACGTTCTTTGGGATGGAGAGAACCATGCCCTTGCCTGGAGTAAATAAAGTCCTAACACTGCTCAAAAAATGCGCTTTGTGTGATCTAGAGAGGACAGGGTGGGCTGGATGGGAAGGCACATTCTCTCTCAGTTCTGCTGAAAGATCTGTTGAGATGAGGGGTTGCATGTGGAACTCAGAACAAAAAGATCCATTGTAAAAGATGTCATGGTGAGAGTTGTTTGTTGGGTGTCAGGCAGCCAAGTTTCATGCTTCAACCGTGGGATTCCTCCAAACTGATTCTTATTACATTCTTCCCTACAGGTAAGACCATAACTCTTGCAATTGCAGTACCATGGCCTCTCTCCCACCCTGAACTCTTTCTAGTAGCGTGATCCTGCCACCTGCATCTGGTTCATGGGGTTCCAGCGTGGGAGAAAGACCACAACGTTGCGTGGCACCCCAAGGAAACTCCACTTGGTTTCCCCCTGTAAGCAAGAGTTCCAGCAGAACTGCCCGTTCACGTGATCCAGTTGGTGGTTGGACTTACTCCCCATCACAGCACCTAGTGAATGGCATCCCACATGTTAAGAATGGGAGATGCTTAAGAGGTCTTTGAAATAACAATTTATACAAATACCACCCGGTGGAGATTGTTGTTCTGTTGTTCCCTTCCCTTCTCGCATCAGGGAAGTTACTCGCTCTGTCCCCAGTGGGGTTCTTGTTGTTGGCACAAGCGTGTCAATGGAGTATTGCCTTTTCCCCATCCCTTCTATTTCCCCCTTTCCTCCTACTGAAAAGCCAGGTTTTACCCCTTTTGAGGATGAGTGGAATGGGTGGAGCAGCTCTCCCCCATGCGAACACCTGTGAGCTGCTGGTACCAAGGAGTAACTTACTCTTTCATCGTTAAATGATTGCTATGGTTGCTGCAAATTAGTTACAAAAACGTTAAAGGGGTTTGGAGCGTGTAATCCTGTTGAAGGTTGGCTTGTTCCCTAGGGATATACTTCATGAGAAGGGAAATAACGTTAGAAGGAGGATCTTATGAACCAGACAGCTACAGGCACCACCCCCTCACCCAAAAACTAACCAGGTCTATTGATTTATGGGAACCGATGGGGTACATGTCACCTCCCCCTCCTTGTGTCAGGCAGTGCCTTCAAGAGGTAGACAGGTGTCTCTGTCTCAAGGAAGAAGCCAAGGCAAGCTATTTACAGATTCCCTTATGCTTAGAATTTATGTCCAAAATGTCCATGCTTGCTTCTGCTCCTGCACAGCGGCACAACTTGAAACACGGACTCTTGCAGCCCACTGTAGCTGGGGAAAGTGTCCTTTTCTTTTATCTAACAAGGCTTCATTTGCCAGAGCTGAAAATATAGGGCTGAAGTGAAAGTTTGGAACTGTGTAACTGG